AGTATCTGATGTGTGTGTGTATATATTTAAGCACATACAAGTGCGTTTGTATGTGTGTATATATACATATGTGTTCATGTGCACACATATTCTATTTATTTAGGCAAACTTTCAAAGGACAGGAAATTCAGCAAACACTCAAACACTTCACTGTAATTCACTTGCATATCTGTTTTAGTTCTGACAATAATTTTATCATCCAGTTCCTGTTTTATACACAAGGCACCCGCTATCTAAAGATGGTATTTAACTTGCCCAGAGTCATCAAAGTCATTCCCAAAGTTGGGCCCAGGTCGTGGGAGGGCAAAGCCTGAGTATTTAAACTCTATCCCATTCAGCATTCCTGTGTGCTCCCTCTCTGGTCTGCTGGGACCCTCTGTGACATTCATGTGTAGTCTAGGTCATCATTTTTCACAATTCCAGTGTCAGAAGAGACTTTCTATCATGAGACCGTCGCAGTAATGACTGAATTATTCTGAACTGATTCGGATGGCCAGCTGCTTCCAGGTTCATTCTATTAAAATTAGCTTTGCATATTTCTACCCTATCCTCAGGAAGACTCATTTTAATCTCTCCGAAATTCCAGGGAAAAAAAAAACCAGATCATTTTCTTGCCAGTAAGAATCTTCTGGTTTAGTCAAAGCAGGTTGTGATTTCTGGTGTTCACTGCCTCATTAGCTCCTCCAGATGGTGCATGTAAACATGGCAGGAGCTGCAAATTGTGTGAAGGCCGGAATGTAAATTAAGAAATAAGTATTCATTACAATTTGTATGACAAATGGAAAGGCCGTACAGTGAAACAGTGTACTGCTTGATTGATTTCACCCCATTACTCCAGGGAGTCTCTGGAGACTGTTTTCAGAAATGGACTCCCCAGTTTTGAGAAGGTCAATTGTAAGAATTCCGTGGGACAGCTTCATCTCTGGTCCTGACCATCTGTGGGCTGAGCTCAGTTCTTCAATAAGTATTAGATGCAGACAGGGAAACATTACTTTAAAATTTCGGGGTGTAGGGGTTGGAGCGATGGCTTAGTGGTTAAGAGTGGTGGTTGCTCTTCCAGAGGACCTGGGTTTGATTCCCAGAACCCATGTGTATGTTCAGCCATCTCTGTTCCAGAGGGTCCCATGTTCTCCTCTGGACTCGAAGGACACCAGGCACGCATGTAGGGCATAGACATACAATAAGTCAAAACACTCATGCACATGAAATCATTGGGCTTGTTTGAGAAGGAATAAGAGATTGGTCACAAGCATTCCCACACGTACTGCTGTGGAAGCTGCATTTCCTGCTACCTGCTGGGAGTGTAGCTGATGGTGGCTTTCAGGCCAAGCCCTGAAGATATCATCTTGCCCAAGGTCATACACCTTCTGAGCAGTCATATCCATTGACTGATCAGTGTAGGAGAATGAAGGTTCACCCTTTCATTCTGCCAACTCAGGGTAGCTTAGAATGGTCATCCCAGCTCCAGAACATATCATGGGACCAACAACACCTTTGTGGCAACTGAATCGCTGTTCAGCTTTCTGCTCAGTCATTCATTTATTTTTGTGACATTGGGGTTTGAAACGAGAGCCTCACACCCAATCATGCTAGACAATCACTGTAGCACTGAGTCCTTGGCCTAAATTATTTGAATTCCCAATGTAAGAAACAACCTAAAGAGGAAGAGAAGGCATCAGGCCCAAACCAAAACTCTGAAAATCCGAAGGCATAAGCAATAGAGTTTTGCAGAACTCAATGCTGCTAGAGACGATTATTTGTCTTCTCTGATCTTTATTGTTCTCTTCTTTCGATTCTTACCAACTTATTTCCTTCCAAGACCACCTTTTGATGTGATACCTATGTATTTTTTTGACAAGACGGACCACAGGTTTCACATGTTATTAAAGGGCTCCACAACCAAAAAAATCTAATGGCCAGATCAAGAACAGGATAATGCCTCCAAAATGTGTCTTGGTTCCGAAGTTCAGGAGTACAGCATTTTAAAGACAAAAACCTCAATGGCATCAGTATTAGAGGGGGTTGAGTAACCTTGCAGCATCTGTGTTTTGCAGAGCTTAGCAGTATTTTCCAGACACAACACAACAATTATTTCTTATTTACACTTCTTCTAGTTATTTTAGTTTTCTGTTTAGCTTGCACAAATATTAATTATTTTGGTAAACACATCTGGACCATGATCAGGATCATGGGTGGTTCCCAAACCATTGCTAAGGCATTGCTATTAGAGGGTGGAAGTCTGAGGACTGTCTAGGCAGACACAAAATGGAGTCTGGATAAGATGGCATTATCTTGTCACTTCAAGTGTTGAATCGCACACCTGAAATCCCAGCACTTGAGAAGCCGAGGCAGGAGGATCATCAGTTCAAAGCCAGCCTGGACTATGTAGAGAGGCTAGCCTGGATTATATAGTGAAGCTCTGTTTCAAAAAAACAAAGGTACTACATTTATTAGGCACACAGTAATTTTACATATTCATGGGGTACAAAGTGACATATAAATCCATATAACAATAAGTAACATGAGATCTTAAGATTTGGTCCTTTACAGGATTAATGTTGTGCTTCTGCCAACATTTCGAAGGGACCCGGAATGAGGTAATACGGATTCAGGCTGTCCCTACAGTGCATTGTGCCTTGACCAGCCCTTCAATAGTGAGTACATTCAAGCATATTTCTTCTTTAATAAAACAAGAAGGAGGAACATGGCAATGCATCGCTTGGAAATAGCTCTGGCATTTTAAGAGATTGGAGCTTCTGCTGCACCTCACAGCTATGTTAATACAACTTGAAGTCACTTAAGATTACTATCCTACTGTGTACCCAGCCTGTTCGTTTAACCCACCTTTAAGAGAACAATGTAACAATCATTCTTATTGCCTTGGAAGTTTTTTTTAAACCCAAACAAATACACAAATGTAATCACAAGTTATGTACTCTCCCATGCCCCGACCTGGAATGATGCATGTGCATCATTGGATGAAAGCAGCAAACACAGAGACTGAAAGCCATCTTCTAAAATGAATATCCACCATAACTGTTGAGCATAGCAACATTTGACTTATTGGTTGATAAATAATGACATTTGCAGTACCGTTTGTTATCTGAATCAGTTTTAGATAGTACTAAGTCCCTTGTAAAACTGTTAAGAATTTCAGCATAGACCGTCCCATTCCTTCTCCATGGGATACTTTCTGGGTTGTTCAATAAATACAGAGTGAAACCCTTTGTTAGGGACATACACAAACACAGGAACAGACTCAGAAGACAGCCATCAAGTAGGCACATACTTAGACTCAAGAAACAGATATACAGAGAATGGAAGACACAGGGAGCATGAAGAATTCAAATCTGAACTCCCTTTTGGTTAAGTGACTCCAAGGGGAAGTGCTTTTATTTCATTTCCTTCCTTAATGGGATACTAATGTGTTATTGGTGACTCAGAGTTAATCACAAATTTGTTTAGTCCATACAATATCTAGTTACAATTGTGTTTAATTGAAGCAACTTTTCTGCTACATGAATTTTAACTTATTTTTCATATCAAGTTGACCTTTTTATGATGAATTCCCAATATCTTTATCCATTAGTTTTCTGTTAGAAGAGTCTTTTTGAAATAACCCACATGAGAAAATTACAGATTACCATGCTTTTTAGCCAATTAAGACCATAGTGAGTCCTCTAGTCAGCTGACTAAGAGTGGGCTCACATCTGGGAGAAGACTCTTGGTCCTGAGACAAAGGAGGATAGGGTTTTTAAAGTCAAAAGACTGGCAATCATCGCACCTCTGATAGGATAGGGAATCTTTACCCTCTGATCTTATAAAACATCAGCCAATTCATTCCTCTGGAGGAACCAAATTATTTTCACCAATCAGGAGCCTTTCTTGGAAGGGAAAGGGGGGCCCTTTTGGCATTGTAAAATACCTTATTAAAGAGAGTGAGAAGCTGGTTGTTCACAGGCAAATGTTACTCTGAAGGGGAAGAGGAGTAGGGTCAGAACAGTCTGACCTTTCTTATACTTTTGGTTGTGAGCCTAGCCTTTAACGGCTGAGTCTCCAGCCCCAGTCTGACCTTTCTTAAGCGATTACAATTTGAACACAGGTGTGCATGTTCACTGCGGCCCTAATCAAAATAGCCAGGAAATTGAAACAACCTAAATATGGTCCAGATGCACAATGGGGTTCTAGCCATCTGTAAAGAAGAACGAGGTAGCTTCAACAACTGAAATTTATTTGATCACAGCTCTGTACCCTGGAAGCCCAAGGTCAAGCCACTGTATTGTACAGACTGGCCTTTTCTTCCAGCATCCTGGGCATGGGTTTCCCTCGGGCCCTCGTAAGATCTTTCCTTGACAGTTGGCAACGGAGCTGGAGAGCAGAGAGCAGGAGTGTGAAAGTGAGACATGGAGAAAGACGAAGGTATCTAGCTTTCGACTCACTTTTCTGGCCTCCCCAGCCTTAGCTAACACTTTAAACACAGTTTGCACGTATAGTCACGCTGGGGCCAGGTCTTCCACATCTGGCTCAAGGAGCACGATTTAGTTTACAAAATCAAATTGTGGTGACACAAACAATCTAGATAATATTTCTTCTGTTCATTCCCAGATGAACACATCATAACAATGATTTTTAAAACAAATACAGGATAACCACTTAAACTAGTATTTCTAGTAGGGATTATACTTATACATAAAATGTGTCCACTGCATGATATGTTAAGAAAAAAAAGTGTTAATCCCATCAGTTCAGAACAAGACCACTACCACAGTTTGAAGCAAGCTTTAATTATATTGGCCAGGAGGATAGGCTCTGGCCAGGTCCGTCTCTGGGTTTCCAGTAAATGTCTACAAGTCACATCTTGCAGAGGCTTAGAAAGCAACCTAACAAGACCACTGTATTTCCCATCAGGTCCAATCAGGGGCAAGTGTACCTCCTGACGTACTTCCTGCTCACGCCCATATGTGATCAAGCATATCTGATACAGATGGGCCAAACAAACACAGGAAAGACAGGAACTTATTCTTAATGGCACACAGAATTCTTAACCTGCAAGGTGTATTTTTTCCTGTTTTGATCTCACAAAAACTATGAGATTTGAACGTAAATGGGTAAGACTAGAAAAGGTTATACTGAGTGATGTAATCTAGACCCAGAAAACAAACACTTCATTCTCTTTCATCTGTGGCTCTAGCTCCACATCTTCAGATGTGAGTATGTAACCTGGGGTCACCATGGAAACCATGAAAGTAGAAAGAGACTGAAGAGGGAGGTTGGGGAGAGGCAGAAGGAACTCGAGAGAGAAATAGCAGTCCACAGGTGCTGTGAAGGGGACATGGAGAAAACGGAGGAGAAGGGTGGGAAACACAGAGGTAGATGGACAGAGGGAGGGAAAATAACACTAAGGATGTTTGAATGCCATAGAGAACCATATTGCTTTATGTGTACCTAGACATACATCATATAAGTGGATGTGTAAGCATTTTGTGTGTGTGTGTGTGTGTGTGTGTGTGTGGTTTAAATGAAGTTCTATTATGTAGGGGTGACAATGTTCTCCCCAAGAGCCATAGACTGTCTAACATAAACCCCAGTACCAGGCATGATAAACCTCCTTTTGAGTTGTTCATCAGGGACTTCAAAGAGAATCCCAAAACAATATAGACTATTTCAGTTGCCCTTGGTTGCTGCCAAGATTTTAAAGGTAAGTCCCTATTGCTGAAGACACCACATACTTTAGACACAGGTCTTTGAGGAAGTGAGCTAGACCTGATCTGGAATTTCACCCACCCAACCCCAGGAGTAGCTCTCATAGTGTTGGAAGGACCTGCAACCTGCCCAGGGAAAAAGCGATCAGTAGTTACCCAGCTGTGATGCATACAAATCACAACAACAACACACATGGCAAGATATCCCCAAAGTACAGTAGTGGCACTTATATCTTGGGGGTTACCAACAGTTGCCTAAGTGGACTTCAGACTTGCTCGAGAGGAGGGAGTTTGTGCCTGGTGCTGTAAACCTAGCCAACTACTGTGGCTGATGAGGACATGGAACCTAGGGAGTCTACTACTGTCACTTTCCTAAATCAGTATAATTTCGAACTGCATTCTAAATACGTATCCTCATACCAACAGGTGAGTGTGGCTCTCATCCCTCATCAAGAATGCCCCCCACCCAGAAGACAGAGACCGCTCCAGAAAGACACAGCCAGTCACAATGCAGAAGACAACACACCACGGGGTACCTAAGGCTCAGAGGACACAGTGGAAGAGGGAGCAAAAGGACCGTAAGTCAGAGGAACAGGACACCTGCCGCAAGATTGTGTATTTTATGTCTGACAGAGAACCTGTACCCATGAGATCTCAACAATACGGGGGCCTAAACAAGACCTGAGCAATGACAACACCAGTTGATATGACAACATGGGTGGGAGAAATACCCCCCCCCCGCCCGATGAAGAGCCATAGGCATTAATGACTGCAGAGAGAGAGAAACTCGGTCTTCCCCAAGGATCAGCTCCCTCAATTGGTTATCCAATACCAAGTGGTCATGCCTAAAAACATACGCAGACCAGCAACACTAAACCATACAAGCAGGGCATATTTATATTTTTTACATTTTATATATTTATGTGTGTGTGTACACATAACAATAATACTTAAAGAGAAAGGGGGAAAAGAATCGCTTCTTCATATTTTCTAAATGAGATGTGCAAGAGTCACCAGAAACATCATTTCGATTGTTTTGTTATCATGGGGAGGGCACACAGGCAACGGCAGGGTGGGGAGGCTATACGAAGTGTGTTCTCTTCTGTCTTCACATGGCTGCCAGGGACTGAACTCGGGTTGCCAGGCGTATGTAGCAGGCATCTTTACCCACTGATCTCACTAATCTCATGACTCGGTTTTGCTATTAAAAACAAGTACAGGGGCTGGGGACATGGCTCCGCTTGTAAATCATGAGAACCTGCGTTTGACTCCTAGGTCTTATGTGAAAAGCTGGGCACAGCAGTACACACCTGCAATTCCAGGACACGGAAGCCAAGACGGGAGGAGTCTTAGGGCTTCCTGGCCAGCCAGTCTAGCTCAATCAGTGAGCTCCAGGTTCAGTGAGAGCCCCCGCCTGAAAATACTAAGGTGGAGGGCAATTGAGGAAGATGCCCCTTGCCAACCTGGTCTCCACATTTGTGTGTGCGCTCGCGCGCGACACACAGGGCATATATACACAGACATACACAACCCACAAGCAAAATGAAAGTACAAAATATTTTCTCTTTATTTATGAGAATTCCCCTTAGTTGCTTTAAGCAACCTCATTGGCGTCGGAGTGTCTGAGCTCTTTAATGACTGACTTTTGCCTATTGCCCCGTCTCATGAACTCAGCCAGGTTTCTCAGGGTATGGGACCCAGCTCCATGGTGCGCCTGTGGCCACTGATAATTATGTCTGCACAGCGTGGACAGCAAGGCGCTTCCTGTTATGTGTCAGTGTTGCGCTATTGACGTTCCGCGCATGTGTTGACATTCTGCGCATGTGTTTGCAGTCCACACGCAGGCTCCCCTTGCAGCTGGAAAGACTTGCCTTTCATCTAGAAGTTGCTGCTTAGCGGAAATGCTCCACTTATCTCAAAGTCAGGGAGGGGGAGGGAAGGAGGAGTTTGTTTGCCCACATCTTCCAACCCACAGTGTTTTGGGGATGCGGGCAGGATTGTTTTAATTTGCTCCCCACAAAGGCAGACTCCTGTTGCTTTTCCTGAGTGTTTGTCTTTAATGTCAGGCAGGGAGATAGTACAGCTGTGTTTATGGTGGGAGTCACCTGTAATTTATCCTCTAACGGGTTTAGGAAGATTAGCTGTGTCTGTTCCTCTATACTGATCTGTATCCATTCTCTCTTTTCCTTTGTTTCAAAGGTCCAACTCCTCAAAACATTTTAAACATCAGGAAAGCAGTTGGAAAAACAGGACTTCTGCTCTACACACTTGGAATCACTGAAAATGGTGCGTCAGAATGTGAACGTGTACCAAATTCAACATAAAACCACAGACAAGGGAGCTGGAGAGCTGGTTCGAGGATACGAGCATTAACTGCTCTTCCAGAGGTCCTGAGTTCAATTCCCAGCAACCACATGGTGGCTCACAGCCATCTAAAATGAGATCTGATGCCCTCTTCTGGTGTGCAGGGAAACATGTAGATAGAACACTGCATACATAATAAACAAGTCTTAAAAAACAAAAAAGCACAGACCAATAAGGCAAATTCAAGTTATTCTGTCATCTAAACGATGGCAGGCCATCTCATAGGCTTGTGGGATCTGAGCTGGTCATGGCATGCACATTCCTGTTCCCTCTCTTCTTTCCCTGTTCTTTCATCCTCTTGATGTTTCCCTACTGCACATCATGCTAAATGTTATTATTCATGTAAAACTGGGCTTCCGAGGACATTAAAGAATGAGGTCAGTTAAAGCTACTTGGGCTTGGGGTCAGAGTAGGGTTGTAGTGTGGCTGTGGACAGGAATGGATGGCCTTTCTCTTCTCCAGTTTAGCAAGGCTGAGACACAGCCAGTGGAAGAACTGTCCTAGTGTGGCAGAAGTCTTGAGTTTAATCCCTAGAGCCCTGAAGACAAAGCTGAAAAATCAAAAACACACACACACATACATACATACACACACACACACACACACACACACGCATGCATGCACGCACACACGCGCGCGCACACACACACACAAAGACCTAACCCCAAGGACAAACAACAATAACAACAAACCTAATTTTTACTAATAAAAATAAGTACAAAGCGGTTTCTCTTTATTCCTTGGAATCTAATGGAATGCTAAGTGATTTCTTATAATTGCCAACAGATGGATCCCTTCTCTGTCTCTGAAGTTAAGAGGCAACATCTACTTGCCTGTCCTCAGCCTCAGGAAATCAGGGTCCTTTGTTATTTGCAGGAACCTTTCTCTAAAAGTTAAATCTACATCAAAAATTTTTCTAGCTTCTCAATCAATCAATCAATCAATCAAGGTATAGCATTATATATCCATTAATTCAAAAGACATCGATAACTACGTGCATACCTTGGTGAGCTCTGGATTTAGTCTGTCTGTGAATATTTCTTCTGCAAATATATATATATACATATATATACACATACACGCATGTATATGTATATTCTCATATTCATTCCATATTACCCTCTCATCCCCTCCTAACCCCCACTGATCTTCGTTCTCTTTCAAGCTAGGCCCTTTGTATTTTCATGCCTTCCCTCTGTCCCTCCGTCCCTCCATCCCACTGTCCCTCCCTTCCTCCCTCTGTCCCTCCCACCCTCCCTTTCTTGTGACCACATTTCATTGAGTTTCTTATCATGTCCTTGATGAGGGATTATTTACAGGACACGGGCTCCCTATCAGTGGCAATAGAAAATGTCTCTGTTTCCTCCAGAGACCCATTTACTGCCTACAGGTACTGTGAGCCCTGCCCTCCTCCCCATGGCAACATGCTGACAGGTCTAATCTTGTGCAGGTCTCTTGCCAGTAAGCAAAACTTCTGTGAGGTCAAGAATGCAAGGGTGTTGCTGTGCTTTGAAGAAGGACCTCATTCCTCCTCACTCCATCCCTTCCTCCATTCTCTCTGCCTCCTCTTCCATGATGTGCTCCCGCCCTTGACAGAGATGGTGTTGATAGCTCACTAGAGCAGAGTGGTCCCTTGTTGTCATCACTTTGACTCTAAGTCTCTGCAGCTAGCATTACCTGTTGTGGGCACTTCTTGCCTGGCTGGCTAGCAGTGTAGCACATAGTGTCCGCAGCTGAAGACTTGGTGACAGTTCTCCCCCAGCCGCCTGCACGGCACACTCCTGCAACCAGCCAGCCAGCCAGCCAGCCAGCCAGCCAGCCAGCCAGGAGGATGCTTCCATCCCCTTTCCTGCTTGCTCTCTCCATTTCTGTCCACACCATGGGCCTCCCAGTAATGCGAGCCTCTTTTCCAACGTCTTGTAAATTTGCCTAGTAGTCAGTTTGAGAATTTCCCTACTTATTGTCAAATCCATTGCCAAGTCTCTGCATGAACAATGTTTGATCATTTATTTTTCTCTAGTTTTCTAGGTTCTGTAAGTTCAGTCTGTATGTATTTCAAACTTATTGTTATAAAATAATATTCCCTCCTTATCATTTTTCTAGGACAGTAATTGCAGGATTTCTCACAGAAAAACACAGGATTCTCCAAATTATTATTGGTGTATGGCTCATGTGTAGGTTTCAGGGAGCGTTTCTTTTGACTATGCCTCTACTTCATATTGAAGAGTATTTTGCCATGCCCTTATGAGGCTGTGCACATTTGCTTGCTTTAGAATAACCTTCAGGTCAGGGCCTGGAGAGATGGCTCAGTGGCTAAGAGCATATACTGCTCCCACACAGGAGCACCCACATCGGGCTGTTCACAGCCACCTTGATCTCTAGCTCTAGGGGGGAATCTGAAGCTTGTGACTTCCTCAGGTTTTAACACTCATATGCACATATCCATACATAGACACACAGACAACACTCATATGCCCATATACATACATACATAAACACAGACACTCACACACACACACACACACACACGCAGCAGTCATATGCGCATATCCATACATAGACACACAGACAACACTCATATGCCCATATACATACATACATAAACACAGACACACACACACACACACACACACACACGCAGCAGTCATATGCACATATCCATACATAGACACACAGACAACACTCATATGCCCATATACATACATACATAAACACAGACACTCACACACACACACGCAGCAGTCATATGCGCATATCCATACATAGACACACAGACAACACTCATATGCCCATATACATACATACATAAACACAGACACTCACACACACACACGCAGCAGTCATATGCGCATATCCATACATAGACACACAGACAACACTCATATGCCCATATACATACATACATAAACACAGACACACACACACACACACGCAGCAGTCATATGCGCATATCCATACATAGACACACAGACAACACTCATATGCCCATATACATACATACATAAACACAGACACTCACACACACACACACACAGCAGTCATATGCGCATATCCATACATAGACACACAGACAACACTCATATGCCCATATACATACATACATAAACACAGACACACACACACAGCAGTCATATGCGCATACCCATCCATACACACACAGACACATAGACACACAGGCAACACTCATATATATATGCCCATATCCATACATAGACACAGACACAGACAGACACTCACACGCATGTGCGCGCGCACACACACACACACATATACACACACAGACACGGATACACACAGCACTCATATGCCCATATCCATTCATACACACACAGACACACATGAAAATAACAAAGACATTAAGAAAAGAATGACCGATAGTATTCAAAAATTGAGTAATGTGTGTTTCATGGAAAAATTCAAGGTAAGTCTTTTTTTTTCATTCTTTCTAGTAAATAATGTGAACAGAAGGCAGTCCGACATTTTGTCATTGGAATGTGAAGGCATAGCATTCTGCTCTTCAGGTGAAACTTTAGGGAAGAGCCCATCCATGACGCCAGTGGAGATTCTATACACTGTTAAGTGTTGTATCTTTCTTTTTTATCCTTTCAATTATTTATCTTTATTGTGTGTATATATGGTGTGGGGGGTGTGCACCTGACACAGAGCACGTGTGGAGGTTTGAAGTCCGCTTTCAGGAGTCGCTGCCCTCTTTGCACTGTGGGATTCTGGGATCGAACCCAGGTTGTCAGGGTTGCACAGTAAGCCCCTTCACCCGCTTGAGACACCTTGCTAGGCCAGGACTTCATACCTTCTGATGATTTTAAACGTGATGCTTACAAATTTTCAGACTGAAGTGAACTAGCTACATATTTATCGGCTCAGCAAAGCATCCAAAAACTGCAGAGTAGGCTCCATTTCTGACTCTTGAAACCATCTTAAAAGAATAAAACGTGACGAAGGAAGTGAGCAGGGTGACAGAGTGACGAGTTGACACTCAACAGATGTGGAGCAGCTGCCAGAAGAGGAACTAGAGGATCAAGCTGAGCGCCTGCTCACTGTCCTGGGAACTCCACTCCAGGGTGACTCCTCCCTTTATCTTCAGGCCACACAGATAACGCAGGAAAGCCCTGTTCCCAGGGGATCTGTGCAGGAAAGGAACGGGGGCATTTTGTTCTGTTGGGGGGACGGGGGTGCCTATAACCAGAGAGTGATTTCTCAGAGTTGTGGAGGCTTGAGAGTGAGGCACCGGTAGACAGCGTGTCTGGTGAGGGCCCGCTTCCTGGCTTCCGGGTTTGTAGATGGTGCCTTCTTGTTAAATGTTCTTTCGTTGGAAAGCATAGGGAGTCTCTGGGGTCTAATTATAAAGACTGTAATCACCTTCAGAAGCTCGACCTCCCAACACCACCACATAAGTGACTGGGCTTCAAGGTTGGCATTTTGTGGTGACACAGATGGTCAGACCAGAGCAAGGACTGACTAATTAGTAGGAAGATTCGAGGCTAGGAACGAAAGTCAAACAAAACCTTGGGACTGGATCAATTGCTTGTCTGCTGCTGTGATCTCAGTGGGTGACAGACATGGCGGAATAGGGGATGGTTTATTTTGCCTCGTGACTTCAGAGGCTTTCAGTCCGGGATGGTGGGAAAGGCATGGTGGGGTTCATGTTGGAGCAAGCCTGTGGCACTGCTCCCTCACACGGTGGAAAGCAGAGTGTTCACAACAGGAAGTCGGGCTGGGTAGAACCTTCAGAGGCCCATCCTCGGTGATCTGCTTCTGCCAGCTACGCCCCCCCTCAAAGACTCCACAACCTCTCACGGATAGCACCACTATGAGGGGGTTGGGGGGAGCGACCAAACAGAACACCAGCCTGTGGGGACATCTCAGTATCAAACCAGAACAAGGAAAGTTCTGTCACACATGGGTGTTGGGAAACACTAGGGACCTTTCAGCGACGTGTTTTGAGAATGTCCATAGTGTTTCACCTTGAGCCAGTAACCACATACCCAGGAAAATATATTTAGAGGCTGGCAGGATAGCTCAGCAGTAAAGGCATTTGCCAGCTGAGAACTCAAGCCTGACTTGGATTCTCAGAACCATGGAAAGGTGGAATGACAGGACCAACTCAACAAGCACACATGCACACAGCAACAACAACAATATTAATAAAGATAAACCCAAATGTGTGTAAGAATTAACATATAAAATATATCACCAAAAGTTGGAAATAGACCCAGGTGTTGGTGGCATTTGCCTTTAATTCCAGCACTTGGGAGGCAGAGGCAGGTGGATCTCTGTGAGTTTGAGGTCAGCCTGCTCTACAGAGCGAGTTCCAGGACAGGCTCCAAAGCAATACAGAGAATCCCTGTCTCGGAACAAACAAGCAAACAAACAGCAAAAAACTCCAAACAAACACACAAAAACCTAAAAAAAGTTAGAAATAATGTGATCAATCAACAGCAAAAGATGAGTTAAATAAATAACATATGGCCTTCTAATACATTATAATAAAAAGTCATGCTTTTTGAAGAAAACATTATTTCATATTCAATGAAAATGTGCCAGCCATGTTCAATCTTCTGTATTGTAATGTTTCATAACTTGCTT